ACCCTAGATACAGTGACTCTACTAGATTCCCACTATAGGCATTTGCAGAGTCCTTAGGAGAGTCATGTCCAAGGCTCTGTTCTGACAGCTGTGTGGTTGTGGAGAAAGCTATACTACTCACATTTCCTCCTCACACCGGGCAGGTGCTCTTATCCCACTTTACAGCTGTGTGCTGAGCCCTCTCCATAGCACCCCGTTTAATCTTAGTACTACATTGAGTAGGGGTTGCTGGGCCGTTTTTCTGGCCTACAGATGAGGCCATGATTGTTGCGGTGGTTCACTGACTAGTCACTAAAACACTTACAAGTGACATGTGCAATTATAGGCAGCAGAGCTGGAGATCACACCTTGGCTACCTGACCTCAAAGCCAGGCCTCTAAAAAGCTGTCACTGTGGGATGCCACCTCCCTGGCACATGATGAGCGAAGGCACTGACAAAGGCTTTAAGACTCTGAACATGTTGTCTCCTCCTGGAAGCCCTCCCTGGTTCTGTATGCTCAGACAAGGGACCTTGGGTGCCATCATCTCACTGTTTTATAACAATATTTTCTTGTCTTTCCAACTAGAATGTGACTCTCAAAGGGGCAGGGATTGAGTCAGGTTTGTTCATCTTTGTGTCCCCGACATCTCTCTCAATGGCTGGTATCTAACTGCTCCTCCAAAATGTTTGATAGCCTAGGCTGGGGCTGCAGCTGAGTGGTAGAACATTGCCTACTGTACAGGAGGCCCTGAATTCAATCCCAAGTACCATTAAAAAGTTGAATGAATAAGTAAATGGATGAATGATTTGCTATATTTACTTGCCTCCATGCCTAGAGGCTGAGGCAAAGATCCCCTCCAAGACTTTTATTGGAGGAATGTTCAGAATTCTCTTGAAAGTGGGCACCAGAGCTGTCTCCAAGCCCCTTCCTCTCTGTTCTCAGGTGTATGGGGCCTCCAATGTGGAGCTCATTACCCGGACACGGACAGAGCATCTTTCAGAACAACACAAGGGCAAGGTCAAAGGTAATGAGCTTGAGGCACATGGGGGAGGCTGTAGAAAGGGAGGGTCTTGTGCCCTCAAAGCATTCTCTGGCAGCCCAGTGCCAGGACGGCTCAATCAGACAGATTCAAATAGGTTCAAATAGGTGCCTAACATACTGCAAAGAAGACTGCTCGGGCTCATTTGGGCTCAGTGATTGATTATTAATGTCTGTATTGAATTTAAGAGAGAAATGTCATGCATGGCATTTATAGGTTAATCTAGTCATCTGATTCAAAACCTTGGAAGAAAGTCAGAGAGCCTTGCCACTGAGTCTGTGTACTTGCTCATCTCACACACATTCACTGGGCATCATTTAACTTGTCTCAAGTGGAGACAAGTAATTACTACCTTACATGAGAAGAAAATGAAGTCATTAATGTGGACAAGCCTAAAGAAAAGCACTCACGCATACTCCCCAAAAGATGACAGGTGGTTTGCTATCCAAGGTCACTAACCTGGAGAGCGGCACTTTTGGGAGACAGGGTCTCACTATGTACCCTGGCCTGAAATTCTTGATGTAGACCAAGCTAGCCTCAAACTCACAGATACCCACCCTCCTTTCTGCTTCCTGAGTGCTGGCATTAAAGTGCCACCCACCATGTCTGCTTAGGTGCCCTTTAATTTCATCCAAGCTTGCAGTGAGTCCTAGGCCCAGCTCCTAAGAGTCCTCATCACTTTCAGGTGCAAGTGGCTAGGAACGTGGGGTGTGAGAGCTACCCACACCCCTTCCTCAGGCAACAGTCTAGATCTTGGGTATAGTTGCCTTGGATGAGGCAACCATGTGTATGAGGCCACAGTATCCCCTTCTGCCCCACATTTCTTCTAGGTTGTAAGACACCTCTGCAGTCTTTCTTGGGAATTGCTGAGCAGCACGGGGGCCCCCAAAATGGGGTGAGTGTGTGTCAGGGGTGTTACTGTTTTCAAGAGTGTGGGTATGGCTTAGGAGGAGTTTTGGTGGCATCCTGCTTACCATGGCCTATGTGGACTTCCTATTCACAAAGCCAATGTCAGCTCTGTGCTGGAAGCAGGAGAGATTAGGGGCTTGTGTCACCAACCCCTGACCTGGAATCAGGGACTAAGGCCTCCCTCCTGTGTGGTACAGACCCTGATCACTCAGACCCTGAGCCAAGCCAATCCCACTGCCATCACTGCAGAGGAATACTTCAACCCCAACTTTGAGCTTGGCAACCGGGACATGGGTCGTCCCATGGAACTGACTACCAAGACACAGAAGTGAGGCCCCCTGCTCTTTCTGGGGAGGGATGGGCAGGACAGGGGTCTAAGACATGCTAGGAGGCCATGACTTCCTACAGCTTCCCTTACCCCTTGGGATCTGGGGGACCAGGTTCAAGGCCAAGCTGTGGCTGTGTGAGGAGCATCCCCTGTCCCTGTGTGAGCAGGTGGCTCCCATCATTGACCTCATGGCTGTCAGCAATGCACTTTTTGCCAAGCTCCGGGACTTCATCACCTTGCGCTTGCCTCCTGGCTTCCCAGTCAAGATTGGTGAGTGCCCGGGCTCCATGCCCCATTTCTCCTCAGCCACTTGGGAGAGTGAGGTTTAGAGGCAATCCGGGCAGTGGATCTAAGGTATGAGGGAGTATTGGGTGCTTAATGGCTTCCTTGTTCTTAGAAATCCCGATCTTTCACATCCTCAATGCCCGCATCACCTTTGGGAACCTCAATGGCTGCGATGAGCCAGTGCCCTCGGTTCGAGGCAGCCCCAGCTGTGAGACACCCTCCCCTGGCAGCGACTCCTCCAGCGTCAGCAGCTCCAGTTCTACCAGTGAGACTCTCCACTCCCCACAGAGCCCCGCCCTCTCAAGCTCTGTTCCCTTCCCTGACACCCAAGGGTGAGCCCTTCCACACCTGACCCCTGGCCCACGCCCCCAGCCTCCTGCCGCGGCTGCGAGATCTCCCCTGCATTGTTCGAGGCCCCCCGTGGCTACAGCGTGCTGGGTGGCCAGCGAGAGGCTGCGACACGGGATGAAGATGACGACCTGCTGCAGTTTGCAATTCAGCAGAGCCTGCTTGAGGCGGGCAGTGAGTATGACCAGGTGTGTTCCTGACGCCATTCCAAGCCATTCCAACTGCAGGCAAGCACGGCTAATAGGCCCCTCCCCCCAGGTCACCATCTGGGAGGCGCTAACCAACAGCAAGCCAGGCACCCACCCCATGTCCTATGAAGGTCGCCGACAGGACAGGTCAGTGCCCAGGAGGCCGAAGAGAACATAGAGGTGCTTATTCCCTCTCCTTCCCCCAACACACACGCACAGACTCCCACTAACCCGTCAGACTGCACAGTGACACTGGAACCCTGCTAGGCCCAGAGAACCCTTAGTGCCTACAGCAGGGCTCCATCTGGTATCAAATACCCGTTATCAAGATGGCTTCTGCCAAACCCCTTTCCTGGCACAGGGTGGGTGGCCAGTGCTCCAGGCATGTGCAGAGAGCAGGGACCTAACTCCCAGGACGTTCAGACCCTCAACAGACAGGTTGGCGGGACCTGGGATCTGCTGCCACCGGGTGGGGCCAGGACAGCCCAGCGAGACCCGTGGCCTCCCCTAGAAGGGTGGCAAGTCTTCCCAGCCCTGGGGCCTCCACGATGTCTCCTGCCCTGCTTACGAGCAGGTGTCCCAGGTGTGCCGGGAGCGGGGAGCGCTCGACAAATCCTCCCCACCCCCAGGAGCGCCCCACCCACGCCGCAGCGCCAGCCGGTGCCCCCGGCAGCAGTGCCCAGCCCTCGGCCCAGCCCGGGTCCCGGCTCCAGCAGCCACGTGTTCCGGAGTTACGACGAGCAGCTGCGGCTGGCAATGGAGCTGTCTGCGCAGGAGCAGGAGGAGAGGCGGCGGCGAGCACGCCAAGAGGAGGAAGAGCTGGAGCGTATCCTGCGGCTCTCGCTGACCGAACAGTAGCGCCCTCTGCTCGGACCCTCACCCACTCCGCGCAGGACCCGGGTCTGCGCACCTGCCGTGCTGCTGCTGGAGTCTGGAGCCATCGCATCGGGGGTGCAGCGGCGCACCAGGCTTGAGATGCCCGGGGTTTGATACAGGCGTGGAGTAACTTCCCAAGCCAGAGCCCTAGAGGCATGGCCGCTCTCCCTGCTTTGCTGTACGGTGACCCCAGTTCGTTTCCCTGGGCTCAGATCTGTCCAAGGGCGGAGACAGGTGGTATTGAAAAGGAAATGAATCCTTGAGAGGAGCATCGTCCCTGTCCCTTGCTCCTTCTGGCCGGTCCTCCTCCTTGCTCACTGACCCCTCTCCCGGACACTGCCCCTAAAGCCTTCGCATCTCAGCTCTTCACCCTGGGAGGCAGCTGATCGCCCTTCGTGCTGTGTCGCTGCTTTGTCCCAGACACAAACCAGCACATCAAGGGCCCAGCCCCTCCCCACCCCGGCATTTCAGCGTCAAGTGCACTTAGCGGGGTGCCCAGCTCCCCCAGCTCCCACACCCGTCCTGTGTCTCAGGGTGGTCCCAGCTTCTCCTTAGGCAGCCAGAAAATGGGAGTCCCCATGCCCACAGCACGTCTTTTATTGTGATCAGGGAGTGTGTCTAAGCTGTCCCCTAGTCTGGGCAAGGCCTGATTCCCTCATGGTGCCTTGGGGAGTGGGGGCAGCATATTGGCTTGGGGCAAGCACTAGACCCGACACAGAGGCATTGATCAGGGCCCTGGCACCACTGTCACCACCCACCCCTTCCTATCGGCTGCTGCTAGCCTCTGTGGTTGTGCACCCCTCTTGTCCCCATTCAGGGGCTGACTAACACCCGTTATCCAATGGTGCTAACCCCGGCTCTCCCTGTTCGCCCTACCCACCTAAAGAAGCACAGCCCCTCCCCCACCCCACCCCGCAGGGGCCCACGCACACCCTTGTCCTGGGGCCACCTGGCTGGCTTTTCTGTCAGGGACTCCAAAGGGGCACAAAAGGGGGACAAGAAAATAGCAACAAAGTGATGCTGTTCTTCCTATTTCCTTCCCCGATGCCAGGGGCACCAGACTGATTCTGAGGCACAAATAAAGAGGTTTCAAACCAGAGGCTTTTCTACCTAACTTTATTGGGAAGGAGTGCCTACGGTGGGTGGGAGACAGGGTCTTTGGAACCTCAATGCAAAAATGGCTGACCTAGGGTGAGAAGCTGCCTGGCAGGTCCTCAGCCCAGCTTGCATTTGCTGGGTTCCCCAGGGTTCCCAAAAGGGAATGGGGGGAGTCCCCAGCCATCTATGCTGGAGGCACAGACCTGTACTTAGTAAAACATTTCATTAAGTATGTGTCAGTATTTTTGCAGATTCAGCAAAGTGCTGGAGGCTTTGGTGTATGGTGTGTGTGTGTGTGTGTGTGTGTGTGTGTGTGTGTGTGTGACCTGCTTCCTTATGCCAATTCTGAGATTTCTCTGGTGGGGTCTGTCTGTCTCCAAGAAGCTGCCATCTCTGGAAGTGGGAAGAAGGGAGAGCCCTCTGCCATAGATGGATGGCTGAAGCCAGTGGGGCCAGACTCTGCCAGCAACAGAAAAGGGGTGCTGCCCATCTGTCCCCACACACTGTAGGGGAAATCAAGTGAGCTCATTAGGAGAAATGCAGGGACTTCCCTGAGACTCCGGGGATACCTGTTGACTTTCCATTGATTTTCCAAGCCCAAGCCTGGCAGTATCCCCAGTCAACACACTAAGCGATTCCCCTGCCCAGGGTAAGGGATTGCGAGGGACACCACCTCACCCCTAAGCACCATTGCTAAGGCTGGCATTATCCTAGGCTCCCTCTAGGCTTCATATCGAAAAGTCAGGGACCTAGTACGGAGCTCAGTCCTTGCCACTTAAGATAGGTGTGCCCAGACCTCCTATGAGGGACGGAGTTTCTTTTCTGGTCTCGCCCCTAATCCCAACCCCAGGAAGCAGGGTGCAGAGTCCCAGACCAAAAGCCAGTGCTGCCAGTCTGTGCGCCCTGCTCCCATCCGGTCTGCAGCGTGCAGAGCTTTTGCGCACATACGCAGCGCTAGTCTGTGCCATCCACCAGCTCACAAAGCATGTTTTCCAAAGCCGTTATGCGCTCCTCCTGAGCTTGCACCCGCTCGCGAAGGGCCTTGATCTCCTCCAGCAGTGTCTCCAAGGTGTGCTGCTGCTGATATGTGGAGGGCAGAGAAGACCATGGCAGAGAGCAGAAGGCAGGGGCTAGAGATGGGTGGAGTGGGTCAGATCTTAGAGCTTACCGACAAGGGGGCTTCGCTGGCTGACTGGCTGCGCCGGGGACCGGCTGGTGGACGCACATCTAGGATGTTGCGCTTGGTGACACGGAGCTCGCGGTGTTTGGGGGGTACATAGCCTTCCTTCAGCGAAATTAGAACAGGTTCTGCGTCCTGACCCGATAGCCATTCATCTGCTTCCAGGGCTGGCTCAGGGCCGGGCGTGTCTGGGTATAGGTCATCCTGGAACAGGTCCGACTGAGGGGTGGGGTGGACGGGAGGGCCGGTGTGAGCTGGGCACTGGATGGCTGCCTTTGATGCTTTCCAACCAACTCCCTGCCAGACTCCTTCCTTACCTTTCGAGGTACAGTCATGACAATGGGTTCACACTTTCGTTCGTGTAACTTGTAGAACCTATGAGGTGAAGGGGGGTGGGAGGGAATTCAACACCCTTGCTGTCTCCCGGTTCTTTTTAAAAGAGCCATGTCTGGGACTAAGGAGTTGGAAACCAATACGCTGAGTAACTACCGTGCACATTGCACTTTACACGCATCATCATTTTCGGGTTAGAACACCTCTGGCGGAATGCCAGGCTAGTGGGCGCTGGGACAGTCGCTGAAAAAGACTAGTATGGCTTCCTTCTCTTTCCCAAAGAGCAGCGCAATGGGGGGAAGGCCTGGAGGACAAGAGCTGACACGAGGAACAGAGGCAGGGGGCTAGAAGGGGCTGACGTGCTGACCTGGCGATTTCACATTTGCTGACATCCAGCCCCCGCTTGGGCATGAAACCCATGCCCCGTTGCGGCTCTTTGCTGCTGAAAGTGTTCAGATAATGCACAAAAGGTGGTTCGTCCGTGATTTCAAAGTACCGAATGCTACTGTCACCCTGCAAAATCAGGCCATTCAGAAGCATGGCCAGACAGGGCCCTCACATCTGCCTCCTGGCCCTGGTCCTTCCCGCCCAGCCTCCAGCACACCTTGCCACACAAGTAGACAATGCTGGAGTCAGGATCATAGAATGGCAGTAGCACTCCGTTGCTTGTGTCCATCTCCTGCAAGGCCACTGGCTCTTCAAAGTTGTTCTGCCGATGACAGGAAGAGTGACCAGCCCTGCTCATCCTCCCGGGCTGCTTCAGAATTTGCTTTATACCCACTCAAAATTCCATGCGTTCCCAAGGCAGCTTTGGTGAGAGCTACAGGCTCTCTTCTCCTAGACTTATCATAGCGTTTCCCTCGCTCAAGTACACCCTGTGCATTTGCATGCAGCCACAGCAAACCACCCCCAGGGACTAGGCATCACCAGGAGGGGGCGCCAGCGCCAGATCCTTCAGGCGACGCGGCAAAACTGGGTAGTGTCGGGTGTGAAGTGGCGGCAACCTTCAGCCCTGTCAGAATGGGCACACCCTGCGGGTGCGGGGCGTCTGGCCCCTGGCCTCTGGCCTGTGATGCCAGCCCCCGGGGCACACACCCCAAGCCTCCAGCTGTGTTACCGGGTCCCACAGGCCTAGCTCTCGCTGGCTCATGCGGGTGAATCCCGTGGTGAAGATATGACCCAGCCGCGTGAAGACAGCCCGCATGGGCCTCATCCCCTCGTGGGCT